GCCCCGGTACCGAAAAAAAAAAAAAAAAGACATGGAGGTGATCCAGCTTACCTGGGTAACACAATTCTGGTGATGGTTAATGTTCAGCCAGGGCGGCTGACTCATGGTCCAGGCCTTTGACCACAAACCATGCTGTGTGAAACCTCACGAATAGGTGAGGTGTGCCCATCTGGGAGTTCAGGTCTGAGGACCAGCCGGGGGCCAAATCAGAAGGGTTTTCCTAAGCGCGCTCTGACCCAGCCCCAGGTGCTGCCCTGTCTGCCGGCAAAGCCCTGCCCCTCTCCTGCAGCTCCTCCCCCAGCCGGCCCTGCTCAGGGAAGCAAAACGCTTGGGATCTCATCAGAACCCACTTTAATGATGGGGTATTTGCTTCCTGAAATTCTGAGGCCAACTCAAGTAAGCCCTGCTCCTCCAGGAAGCGTCGCAGAGGTACGATGTCTGCATTAGAGGCCTGTTGAACCACGTTCCTGAGCGGCAGGGCAGGCGGATACTGAAGAGATCAGTTGAACAGGAGTTTCCATACAATAGGATGTGTTATCGTTCACAAATGGCCTGTGTTTAGTGATCCGATCAATCAAACAGCTGCACTGGCAAGACTTGGGGTCAATGAGGTCTAATTGCAGCTCCCCTCTCCCACCAAAGTCATGAGAATGAATGCCTGTTCACTGACCCCAGGGGAACTACCTCTTCAAAAATGGGTGCTTTGGGTCACAATGGGGACAAGGCCAAGTCCATCAGGGTGAAGAATTACTGAGGTGCACGTCCCATTGACCAGGTTGGGATGGCATGGTGGCACAGCAATGATTTACTAAACAAGCCTCCAGTGTGCCAGGCACTGTGTCAGACCTCAGAGATGCTGTGATGAATAAGCCATTGTCTTAGTCGGCTCAGGCCAGCATAACACCACCACAGGCTGGGAGCTTTAATGACAGACATGCATTTCTCACAGTCCGGGAGGCTGGCAGTCCAAGATCAGGGTGCTGGCAGATTCTTTTCTTGGTGAGGGCATGGTTCCTGGCTTGCAGATGACCACCTTTTCTCGGTGTTTTCACATGGTGGGAGGGCGGGAAGGAGTGGGGGAGAAGTAAGAGAGAGAGAGAGAGAAAGGACCTGGTCTCTCTCTTCCTCTTCTTAGACACTAATCTCACCAGGCGAACCTCACTCTCACGACTTCATTTAAACCTAATTCTTAATTGCCTCCCAAAGGCTCCATCTCCAGATGGCACCACATTGAGGGTAGGGCGTCAACATATGAATTTGCAGGGACACAATGCAGTCCATAGCAGTCACAGACTCCGCCCTTGAGGAGCTCCTGGGCCTTCGTGGAAACTCATTTTGATACACAGCTTGGAACAATCTCTACGGTCAACTCTTCAACAAATCGTTCCCAGCCCCAGCTCTGTCAGCAAGGCGTTCTTATTCACCATCTCACGGCGAGTTATGACCTGGGCAGGGCAGTGATACAGGGGAGGGGGAGGGGGACGGTGGGACTAGTCCAGTGGGTCACGTTGCAAGTGGATGGCAGGTCCCAGGTCTCCTGTTAGCCTAAACCTCTTCTGCTGTCACGATGGCAGTCTTCTCCAAGGGAGGCCTGGCATTGTCAGCTTCAATTTTAATTCCATTTCATTTAAAAATAAACGAGGTCAGAGAAAATTTAGGAAAAGACACGCCATAAAAATCAAACACAAGAAGGTCAGACCTACCCTCGTGGTTTACAGTTCAAAATGTTCCGGAGCATACGCTGAGATTAAAGGCTTGCATGGGGGAACAGAAAACAACCATGAGTAAACAAACCAAGATCATAAAAGACTTATTTATAGCCTGTCCACAGCCAGGTAAGTGCCTGCCTGCGATGGGGACCCAGGGCCAAGCTTGCAACACACCAGATGAGCTTGGTGGGGCTGGAGTTCCAGGAGCTGCCCTCGTCACCCTTGTGTCCTTTGTTAGGAGCAGCCTGGCAGCTAAGACAAATGACTTAGGTACGGGGAAAATGCTCCTCCTTGGCAAGGAACGTGAGCTTCGAGTCAGCTGGCCAGGCGGCAGCCTGCTTGGGAGTGTGTGGTTCCCGGCTGCCCAGCCCCAGGGAGCTTCAGGGAGAGGTGCCCTGACCAGGGGAGAGAGCGGGACTGGCAGGGGCTTCGTAGAGAGCGCCTGGCAGGAGTAGGGGCTGCTGCTGAGGCCTTTGGTTTTTCTTTTTAAAGTAATTTGGGTTTGGTAAAGAACTATCCTTGACCTTTGGCAAGAGGAGGAGTGTTGTGGCTGAAGATAGTATGTTTTCACATATACATAGGCTCTTACTAGGTCCTAGCGGAGGGAGGGAAACGAATGGGTCCCCATGGGCTGACCTCTGGATTAAAAAGAGAATGGTGGGCTTCCCTGGTGGCGCAGTGGTTGAGAGTCCGCCTGCAGATGCAGGGGACGCGGGTTCGTGCCCCGGTCCGGGAGGATCCCACGTGCCGTGGAGCGGCTGGGCCCGTGAGCCATGGCCGCTGGGCCTGCGCGTCCGGAGCCTGTGCTCCGCAACGGGAGAGGCCACAGCAGTGAGAGGCCCGCGTACCGCAAAAAAAAACAAAAAGAGAGAATGGTGCCTCCCGGGTCACTCAGATCTGGAGGGGGCGGTACCCTAGAGCAGCACCGTCCAGGAGAACTTTCTGTGATGGTGAAATGTTCTGTATCTGTGCTACCCAAAACCATGGCCACCAGCCACGTGTGGCTGTCGAGCCCTTAACTGTGGTGGGTGAGGCGGAGGACCTGAAATTTCAATTTTATTTGATTTTAATTGATTTAAATTTAAAAGGCCACACGTGGCTATTGGCCAGTACAGCCCTGGGAATAATGCTCCTATTGAGAAGAAGTAGAAATGATTTCTCTCACCCCTGCCCCTCACCCCAATCTAGAAAGAGCTTTCTTTCGACGTTGGGAATAGTGGGTAGCGTCAGTTCTGGGGCTAAATTCTGGCTTTCCCATGTAAGCTGCGGGACCTTGGGCAAGGGGCCTATGTAAGGCATGTAGTGTAGTACCTGGCACACAGCAGGCAATAAATGATAGCTCTGGTCATTTTAAAAATAACCCCCCGTGTGGCTACTTGCACAGCATTTGTGGCAACGGAAGTTGTACCATGGAAGACGGAGGAAAGGATTTTCCCCAAACAGAACTCAGTCGCCATAGAAATTAACTGGTATCAAGCACACTTGCAAGCTTAGAGGTTGAACTGATGTCCTAGGTCACATCTTGGGTTTTAACTTCAAGGAAAAAGAACTTTGAAGCAGATGTGAACTTGTGCCCAGAGCCCCACATCACCATTCAGGTCTCGCAGTGCCTCCCAGCCCTCAGAGCCATGTCTGGGGCCCCTCATCCCTTACATTACATCCGCACACCTGCTGGCCGAGGGACCACCTTTTCCCTCCACCACACCACTCTTAGGTGGAATCTGCAGACGTGCATTCATTCATTCAGCAGACATTGACCAAGGGCCTATGATATGCTGGGCACTTGGGATACCGAGATGCTGAAAACACAGTCCCTGCCCTTTGGAGCTCAGGACCTGGTGGGAAAACAAAAGTGAGCTAAATCCCTATTTGAAGTCAGAACAGGTACCTTAGGGAGGGATGTTAGGGATCACTGTCCAATCTGGGGAGACGGGAAGAGTTGGTGGGGGGCAGCATGATCACCTAGCTGAGTGCAGAAGCCCTGGGGATGCAGCCCAGAGCCGGGGGAGCCAGAGGATGACCAGGCTGATCTCTGCGAGGGACCACGCGGCTCCAGAGGAGTACCTGGGGATCGCTTGTCCAGCCGGTGTACCCTGGAGGTGGGGGAGGGAATACAGTGCCCTGGGCAGGACTCGGTGAGCTGCACATGCCTCTTCCTAGAATGAGGTCACGGGCCAGCTGTTCTCGGCTGTGAGAAGCCCAGGCCTCTGTTAGGGGCCAGAGTGCAGCTGTCACATGAGCCTTGTGGAGTGGTGGGGCTCGCCATGCCAGCCTCTGGCCCTGCCTGTGCGAAGCAGCATGGCTGCATTTGCAGAATGTCTCTGAGCTTCCATCCTGTTGTGTTCACCACAGCACGTGACCACGGGAGGGGAGATGCGTGTGGGAGTGTATGTGTGTGAAAGCAGAGAAACGAGGTGACTTAGCAGAAGTCACACACGCAGAGGCAGGGCAGGGGGTGCAGGCCTCCCAGAGCCCTCGGCGTCCCCGCTGAGAGATGAGTTAAAGGTGGTGCTGTCGGCTTCCCCCTCCCCCGTCCCCAGCTGTGTTCCTTTCCATGTCGGCACAGGTTACCTAGAAAATGCTGCTAAAAATATAGGTGACATCCTCAGGTATATCATTGATTTTGCCTTTGAAAAATTCTGGTCATTTACTAAGTGTCCCCATTTCTCCTGCAGCCTGCGGGAGGGATGAAAGCTGGTCCCTCTGGCAGGTGACAACTTTTGCAACAAGAGCTGGAGAGCTGGGAGGCATGGCAGTTCCATGGACCAAGCTCCACAGGCCCTGGGGCAGAGTGTGGGTATGGGTCAGTGGTTAGGGGGTCCTTTTGTCAATGCCAGGGGAGCGCCCTGGCATAAACATCTATCCTGGTGGATTCATTTCTTTGGGCTTCCCAGAATTCCCTCCCTGTTGCCTCTATTTGAAATACCAATCTCCTTGGGATGTCTCACTCATGAAGCTCCACATATCTCGGTGAGGGGCTACAGGAGCAGCATGGATGGGGGTAGGGGTGAGGGTGGGTCCTTGAGAGGCTGAGAGTGACCCAGGGTGGACCTGCTGGGATGGACTGGTCCACGGGGCGAGCTGTGAAAGCTGGCAGGCCTGACCTTCAGGTCTGGTGTCGGGAGAAAGGGATTGGTTTTACTCCGAGGGTTGGACCCCACCTGGAATTCATTTCCCAGGCTCTGAAAGGCACACTGGGTGCCTGCAGAGTTGCAGGAGGGACCTCCTGAGGCTGGGAGCCCTGTGTCTTCTAGAGCCCTTAATCAGGGATAATGCCACCCTAACAGCCATATCCACCTGCCTGGACCTTCCGGAATCCCAGCTGCTTCATCCACCTGGCAGCTACAGAGGGCCGGGAAAGAAAAGGCTAGCTGATGTTCCTCTAGCACTTTTAATTTAAAAAATCATTTTCCTTCTCCAGCTTCACTTTCTTTGTCTATAAAATGTAAATTTGGAGGCATTTTCTCACTCTGGATGAGATGATTACTTCTCATCCTGGTCGGCACACTGTTTCTGTTTGCAGGTCGAGATACCAGAGTGATGCCAGGGAGAGTGAACTGGGCCTACTTTTCTACTGAGCTCTGCCACTTAGAGCTGTGGGTCGCAGGGGAGTAGGGAGGGTGGGGGAGCCTCTCTGTGTTTCAATTTTATTTTACTTTCCCATCTATGAAATGGGATAATAATACCTGTATAACTTAGACGGCACATGATTATTGGAAGGCTCCCGCGAGATAATATGTGACAAAGGACATTGTAATAAGAGAAGTAAGCGATATTATTAAATGACATTTGGAAACGAATTCAGCCCCGCCCTGTCCACGCCAGCTGGTTCCCCTGGGTGTTATAAATGGCTCTTTCACAGGATATCTTTGTCTTGACTATAATGGGCTCAGTTCTGAAGAGGACTGGACCGTAGGGGTGTAAGTGTCTCCTCTATTCCCCCATTCTTCCTAATAGCATAACCCGAGCCATATGGTAGGGTGGGCTCTGTCTCCCACCCATGAAACCCCTGCTCAGAAAGGCTCTGCAGGGGGCGTTCCTGCGTTCACTCCCTTCTCTCTCTTGCAAGGAAAGGCTCTGTCCCTCCAGCGCCCCCAGACCCAGTTTCCTAGGCGCTGGGGTCAGTTTGCGGGCCTTACCAGGCTATTAGCCCTGCCGTAGGATGAGGGAGGTGAGGATGAGGCTCTAACTGCTGAACTGGGGCCTCGGGTAATCCTGAACCTCGGGTAATCCTGAATCCTGAATCCTGAATGGCTGGGACAGGGGGCCCGGAGGGAGTTGGGGCGACCCGGCCCTTGGGGCGTTCTGCCCCCGGACCGGCCCCCGCCTGGTTCCCTCTCCTGTCCCGGCGGGCGCTGGGCTCGCAGCCCTCCTTGTTCCGCCAGCCAGGTTGTTGGCGAGTTAGACCTCCCAGCCTCACGGGGATGCTGTGCGGCTGCGGCGACGTCGGCGACTGCGGCGTTGCGGAGGAGACGGAGGGCTGGGGAGGCGGCGCCACGTGAGTCCCGGGCCAGGCCAGGGCTGGGGCCTCGGCGGGAGATTACCGTATTTACCGAGGCCAGTGCCGGCCCCTGGGGGCGGGTCACGGCAGGCGCGCTACCGTATTTGCCGGGAGCCGCGCAGACCCTTTCCGGGAGTGGCGAGCGCAGCGACTTAATTATGTATTTATCCATGGTTGCGCGGTTCCCCCCGGGCGCTGCGGGAGCGGGAGGGCGTGGGTTGCATGAATTCCCTAAGGGAGCCGGGGCTTGTAGCGGAATGGGGTGGGTTGCTGCAGCAGAGTGGGAGGCCTACATATTTTAGTGGGGGTGGGGCTGCGACGCAGAGTTTACCATATTTCTCCAGGATCGCTCCGGCCTCAGAAATTGGCAAGGCTGTGCGCGGGGGGGTCGGGTGGGTGGGGTCAGCTCTTTTGATTAATGCCGCTATTTGAAACGGACAGCGGTCCGGGAGGCTGGCCGTCTTTATGAGGGTGAGGGAGAAGGGGCGCGGGAGGCGCTGCGGGGAGTTACCGTATTTGCCTCGGGCAGCGCAGACTCGAGGAAAGAGCCACTGTTGGAGGCCGGAGGAACTGGGGCGCAGCCTGGTCTGTGAGTGTGGGATGGGATGGAGGAACCTTGGGGAGACAGGGGGGCCAAGGCCTTGGACCCTCTCGGCGGGCGGGGCCCTTGGTCAGGGGTATAGCTGGGGAGTGGGGAGGCTGCCCAGAGACAAGGCCGGGCTGAGATTGGCCAAGGGGACGGTGATGATCTGTCTTTGCAAACGTCCATGCAGCTGCCTGGGGAAAGACTTGTGGGTGGGGTCTATTGCAAGTAGTACTTGTCCCCTTCTCCTGGGTGAGTGGCGTTCCACCCCAGCCTGAGGGTAGGGGGAGACAGAGGGGGTGCCTCTGGGACCCCACTCTGCCGATAGGTCCACTGAGGTTGTGGTTAGCAGAGAGATCTGGAAGTGTGGAGAAGAGGACCAGGGGAAGGGCCAGCAAGCTTCCCAGTTGGGGGTGGGGGAATGCAGGGGAGTGGCCAGCTCCTTCCCTCCCAGTAGGCCCCAGCGCTCTACAGAGCAGGAGCCTAGGGTTTTGGGGAGGCATGAGGGTGGTGGCCGCAGACAGTGCCCCGGAAACAGTGGTCCTTTGGGTATTGATGGCTCTGTGATGGTGGCCAGGAGGGTGGTGGTCTTGTGTGTGTGTGTGTGTGTGTGTGTGTGTGTGTGTGTGTGTGTTTTGAAGGGAACTTAGCTGGTGAGCAGCTACTATGTTGAAAAGAGCTTTTGACAGTGAGGAAACTTAAGGCCTAAGTCTTGGTTCACCTTGCTGTGTGACCCTGGGCAAGTAAGTGGGCCTCACTGAGCCTCAGTTTCCCCATCTATAAAATGGGGTTCAATAAGCCAGCCCCTTACTCAGGGCTGTTGTGAGGACAGTGGGAAACAATTTAAGAGGAACACAGTGCCCTGGGAAAGAGGATCCTTAGGAGAACCAGTGTGAACGGGATGGAACGGAACTTGGGGGTGTTTGTTGAGCTTTGAGTGTTCCTCAGCCTTGGGCCAGGCTTTGCTGGGATGATGCCAGATGCCAAGAGGAATCAAGCTGAGACCCGCCCTTTGGGAGCTCACAGTGTGGTTCAGTGACTTGCAAACCTTTTACAGGCATGCCTCATTTTGATAAACAAAGAGCTGCTGCCTTTATGTTTAACTGAGGTTACTTTCGAGTTTACAGGGCTTTTGTTTCTTTTTTGAAGCTTTGCAAAAGTATCTTTAAACCACTGTTGACGCACCCTTCCCTCCAGATTGGGGATGCACCTCCCTACCCCTCTTCTTGAGAATCTGGTTGGAGAGATAAGACGCATCCAGGTTCAGTATAACTTACAATACTAGGAGTCCCTGAATATTATTCATCAGCATTTATTCAATGCCTTGTGTGGCAGGCACAGTGTTTGATGCGGGGCATAAAAGGAAGCAGCTCTTGGGCTTCCCTGGTGGCGCAGTGGTTGAGAGTCTGCCTGCCGATGCAGGGGACACAGGTTCGTGCCCTGGTCCGGGAAGATCCCACATGCCGCGGAGCGGCTGGGCCCGTGAGCCATGGCCGCTGAGCCTGCGCGTCCGGAGCCTGAGCTCCGC